GAGGTGGGAGGGGGTGGGGGGAGAGGGGGAGGCAACCAAACCAAGGGGAACCCAAAGGAACCGAAAGGGAAGGGAAGAAGAAAAGAAAAAGGGAGGAGAAAGAGAGAGAGAGAGAGAAACAGAAAGTGGCTGGTTGGCCATTGCGGAGCGAGATGGGAAACGGGAGTCGGGCTGCGGCGGAGCAGAGGGGACACGAGGTCAGGCTGTGGTGGAGCAGAGAGGCAAGACACAAGGTCGGCCACATTGGAGCAAGACATTGGAAAAAACAGAAAAGAGAGGGACAAGTGATGATCCCTCCAGGTGCCTCAAGAAGCCAAAGTCCCAAGGGAGGAGCCGCCCAAGGAAGGGAGAAGCAGCCCGGCCCCAGGAGCAGGAGAGCGGTTGGGTGGAGCTGGCAAGGATGCTCAGAATGAGATGGAGGAGTTCCTTGCCCCAAAGGAAGTCAATACAGGGATGGATGTTCTGCCAGACGTGGGTTTTTCTGAGACCGTGGGGGAGGTCTCAGTAGCCTCTTTAGATGGTCTAGCGGCCTAGAAAGAAAAGCAAGATTCAAGGAGGAGGAGGAGGAGGAGAAAGGGGAGGAAAGTCAAACAGTTCCTTAAAAAAAACCAGAAGACAAAAGAAAGGAAGAAAGAAAGAAAGAAAACAAAACAGGAAAGGACAACAAAAAACAAAACCACAACCAAGAACCAAACAGGAGTTTGTTCAGAAGCAGCATTGAGTTAGGCCTGAGGTCAAGCAGCTGGAAAAGGTCCACCACAAACAGAGCACGAGATGAGCTGGTCCCACACGTTACTGGATGGGAAGGGGACATCCCCGAGAGGAGGAGAGAGACAAGACAGACAGAGGGACAGAGGGACAGACAGACACACACAGAGGGGGTTGGAGGGGAGAGGGGAGAAAGGCAGGGAGGGGACAAGAAGGGCAGTGTTAGACTGGAGGTGCCATCCAGGGCAGAGCCTCGGCAGCCCCACACCAGCCCCGGCTCCTCTGGGGGGGGATGGTGCCCACCCTGTGCCCACCAGGCTGGTGGGGCCACCACCAGCACCAGCATCCCCTAACCCCACTTCCTGCAGAAGCTGGTCTGAAGGGAGCTGGGGCACCAGGAGGGAAGGATGCTCACAAACCCTCCTGGCAGGGGGAGAGGGCTCTGCCAGACCTCGGTGCTCCTGCTTGAAAGGGGGGTGGGGGGGCTGCTGGGGAATGGCCAAATCCTGCCCAGGGAGGGCAGGGAGGACCAAAATGCTGTGGAAAACTCCTGGTCTGGCATTTCTCTGCTTCCAGCCCATGGGACAGCCCTGAACAAGGGCACAGGGATTCCTCCAACTCTTGCTGATTTTGGGGGTGTTGTGTGAAAACCAACCTACACCCACATATACTTGTGGGGGGGTGGAGCAGGGAGACCCCAACCTCAAGGACAGACCCTGTCTGGGCACATTTGGCCACTGCTCTGGGACCATCTTGGTCACAGTCAACTTTGTGGCTCCAACTCGGTGATGGAGCTGCCAAGGGGGAGGCTGGGGGAGCTGAGCCCTCTTGCTGGAGCCAGGGGGAGCAAGGTGCCTGTTTTATTCATGTGACATTTACCCAAATCGTATCAATTTCCCCCCAGCCCAGTTCCAGGCGGCTGGGAAAAACCTTCTATTTATCCAACAGGGTTTATGGATCCAACAGAATGAGCAAAATGGGGTTTGCTGGGTGGTTTGTCATGGCCAAGCTCAGGAAAACGTGGGGAGAGACAGAGCCAGGGGGAGAGGATGTGGTGAAGGCACCCGTGGTGCTGTTGCCCACTGGGGGGGCAGGAAGGGGGGGATAAAGGGCGGGGAGAGGGGAGAGGAGAGGTGGGGAGGTGGGGGGAAGGCAGCAAACTGGCTGTGGTGACTTTGCCTGTGGCCCCAGCAAACCTGAGAGCCCCCAACAGCACTAGGGGTGGGGGGTCAGCAGGAGGGGAGTGACCCCTGCCACCCACAGCAGGAGCAGCCCCCAGGGATGGGAAAGGAGTGGGTGCTGGGCTGGGGGGGACACATCCCATCCTAAAGTGCTCCTTTTCCAGCTGCTGTGCCCCCCCCCAATCCTCTCCCCAAATTGCTGGGTGCCTGATACCCTGCCTGTGACACCCCCCTCCCAGCACAAGCTGTTTCTGTGGACACGGTATTGGGGTGCAGGGAGGGTCCTGGCTCTCCAAACCTCCCCCCCACCCCAGATGGGTTGGGCAGCCCCAGCCCTGGGTAAATGAAGCCCCTTGGAGCCCCTGGGCTGAGCACTCAGCACTGTGGCCAAAATGCTCTGCAAGGAGTCTGGGGGTCCCTCAGGGTGAAGCGACCAAAGTCAGGGGCTCAGCCCTGACTGTCAGTGCACTGATGGGACAGAGGGCTGGGGGATGAATGGCTCAACCCACACGGGTCATGAGTTTGCCACTCTCAGCACAAGGTCCTGTCCCTATCCCCAGCTATGGAAACCACCACACTGGGCACAAAGCAAAGTGAAAGCTCTTCCTGCACCCCTTAAAGCTCGTCCAGTCCCATCCCCTGCATGGGCAGGGACACCTCCCACCAGCCCAGGCTGCTCCAAGCCCCATCCAGCCTGCCCTTCAACACTGCCAGGGATGGGGCAGCCACAGCTTCCCTGGGCAACCTGGGACAGGCTCTCACCACCCTCACAGCAAAGAATTTCCTCCTCATGTCTAATCCAACTCTCCTCTCTTCCAGTTTCAAGCCACCCCCCCCTTTGCCCTCTCACTACAAGCCCTTGTAAGAAGTCTCTCCCCAGGCAGAGCTGGGGCTGGGGCCGCTCACCTGCTGCTGGCCCTGGATCCTCATGTACTCCATCCGCTGCTTTATGTGCTTGCTCTTGTCAGGGCTGCCCTGCTGACTGTGCTTCAGCCGGGACGCCGGGTTCACCACCTTCATGGCTGGGATGGCAACGCCACCGCTCTGCTGGGACAGAGAATTTGGGGAAGGGGGTTAACACCAGCAGGTGAAAGCCCATGGTGGCACCGTGGGCAGCTGGATGCTGCCAGCAGCAGGCATCGGGTGCCCAGAGCTGTGCTGAGCCCCTGTGGTACCACCATGTCCCTGCCTGGACAGCCAGGCAAGGACAGGGACACCAGCTCCATGTGCCAAAGGAGCTCCTGCTTTGGAAGGCTCAGAAACCAACAGGGACTTACCAAGAGCTCCTGCTGCAATGGAAAGAGGGAGTTAGGGGCAGACACAGCAAACACCAGGAGAGAAAGGGCAGAAGGAGAACATCCCCACCAGGGCAGGGAACATGGCCAAGAGAAAGGAACAGAGGCGATGGCAGAAGTAGCTTCCAGGTGGGAATGGTGGCAGTGGGAATAGAGAGGATTTTATTCCCTAGTTGTGCACAGGTGAAGATACAAAGACTTGCAGGAGCAGCAGCGAGGGAAGCGGTACCTGCGGGTGTGTCCTCTGGCACTGCAGGTCCCTGTCACAGTGCTGGCACCAGCAGTGCCAGGTGTCCCCTGCTTCCTGGGGCAGCTCAGACCCTCTGCCTGCCATCACTGCTGCCTCCTGCCTGCCCCACGGCTGGACCAGTTGCTACAGGCAGCAGAACTGGCAGCGCCGATGCTGCCCCAGGGATGTGAAACTGCAGCCCCGCTGGGAGAGGGACAACAGGAACGGCAGGTCAGGAAATCAGAGCAGGGTGAAGAAACAGGGCAGGGATGGCTCTCTGCACTGCTTGTCCTGCCTGTCTCATGCCATGGCCCTCAGTGGTCCCACAGAGGGGACACAGGGACTCCTGTATCCCACAGCACCAGGAAATCCCATTCCTGCCTGCAGCCTAGAATCCCTGGCACAAGCAGGGACTGGATCTCCATCTCCACAACCAACTGGCAGCATCCTTGAGAGCTGGTACACGACCTGCCCTCACCCACTTAGGGCACCAACCAGCCAGCCCTGCTGGCACAGCCTCTCCTGCCCACCCTGAGCTCCGCGCACACCCAGGTACCAGCCACAGCCATCAATCCATCCCATGACTTCCACTTCCAGCCTGCCGGGCTCCAGCGGTGCAGCAGGAGTTGGCGGCAGGAGAAACTGCAGCTCCAGCCCCTCGACAGTCCATTCACCCAGTGAGAGCACCGCGACAGGGCTGCGGCACGGCTGGGAACTGCGGCTGCAAATGCAAAGGGAGTTTCTTTCCCCAGCTCTGTCACTGAAGGACCAGGCTGACGGCGCCGCAGCTCACGGCATTTTCCTCCCCCTCTTTTCCCAGCTATCCAGCCAGCCAAGCTGCTGATTCCAGCAGAAACCAATTCGGGGCTCCGGGGAGCCAGCGCTGTAAGTTAATTAGGAGAAGCAGCTGCCACAGTCAAACAGCAGCTCCTTAGAGAAGTGTTTGTGCAAACCGGGAAAGGGAGGGACGCTGCCTTTGTCACCCAGCCCTGCCCAGCCCCGGGGGATGCACATCACTGCCCCATACTTGTTACTGGCCGGTGCTCAGCCCCAAAACCTTCTGAGGTCGAAGATACTGGATAACCAGGGTCTAATCCGGTGCTATGCACAGCAAGGGGTGGCACCAACAAGAGGGAGGGGCAGGTGGCAGCACTGCCTGGCACCACCTGCCTTCACGATGCTGCCTCTGCTGCCTGCACTTCCCAAACCCCTTCAAGTGACAAGGAGAAAGGGAGATTTGTTTTCCACCTTGGCTCTGCCTGGAGGTAGAGTCACAGAGAGGGAGCAGGTAGAGATGCAGGAAGAAAGACATCAGAGTGAGTCCGGGGCAGAGCACAGCAAGAGGGTAACAGAAAATAAACCTGCGGAGTGTCGGGGAGCTGCGGCTTGGGAAGCAGGGCTGGCTTGGTTTTGCTTGGAGATGGACTCTCACGAACATCACCTCTGGCCTGACTGAGGTCCAGGGCAGTCCCATGGTCACAGCTACCGTGTTTGAGATCCCCAAGGCCTTCCTTGGTCTCCCCACTGGCATCTTTGGATCCTGCTTGTCCTAGCAGTTCTTTACGGAACACGGACTCCACGGAGGGGTGGCTGCTGATCTCACTGATGGTCATTTCCAGCTCACGGATCGTTTCTTCCAAGCTATCCAGTCTCCGGTACGTGCCTTCATAAATCTCCTTGGTGCACGGAGTCATGGAGCAACGAGGGGGCAGGTGCCCTTTGCAAAGTCCCTCCATCACCTTCCTCCCCACCGTGGTGTCCTCTGTGCCACCTTCCCCCCTGATAGCTGGAGCTGCACCAGCCCAGCCCGGTGATGCTGCCCCATGACTTGGTCTTGAGAAAGCAGTGACCTGCTCCTGGGGACGCTCAGCCTGGGACTGTCCATTTCCCCTCCAGCCTGGATCCCTGCCTGGGAAAGCTCTGGGATTTGGCACCGGGCAGGCAGGGGCTGGCGAGCTGCCCTCCCTCTGCACTTGTCTGCAAGCCCCAGTGGGGTGTCCAGGAGGGAGCGATGGGTCCCTTACACTCTGCCTGGCTCCTCCTCGGGGGTCCACATCACCGGGAAGCCGGGGAACAGCACCGGAGCCCCTGCCTGCACCGCTGGAGGGGGGCATCACCACACCAGCACCGGGAGCCACGGCTTCCCCCCGGGGGCGAGCAGCCGAGGGA